CAGGAAGCAGGGCCTGCAGACTGGTGAGTATTTCTCTGCTATGGTATTATTGACATTTGATGCTGAATAAATCTTCCCATGAGAGCTGTCCTATGCATTATAGAATGTTTAGCAATATTGCAGGCCTCTACCATTAAGATGCCAGTGGCAGTCCCCTCCTAACTGGGACAGCCCAAACTATCTCCAGACATTGCCAATGTTTCAGGGGAAGTGGGGTGCACAGTTGCCCTGGTTGAGAACCTTTGCCCTAGATGATGACCTTGACAGTGGTCTACCAGACTTATTTTGAGTGCGTGTGTGTGGTGCTGAGGATTGAACCCAGGGCCTTGTGCATGCAAAGCAAGCACTCTACCCATTGAGCTACATCCCCAGCCCTGGTCTACCAGACTTTTAACAGGCTACTAAAGCTCTGAAATATGACTAACAAAGAATACTTTTATTTCCTTCTTTTTTCTTTTGGAACTGTTAACAAGACAATCTCAAGCAAACCATTTAAAGCAAGTATTTTAATGGGAAAATATTTATTTCAAGAAATTGTCAGGCAGAACCATTATTTCCCATATAAATTAATATTTTCTATCAACACAATATTCCTTCCACACAAAAGGGCATAGAATCTGAAATGTTGGTCCATAAGTGCTACAAATTGTATGGATTGCTATTTTAGTCTGCTGTCCAAATGTAAAAAGAATATTAAAGTTATTTTTGTAAAACTTGGAACCTATCTTTAAGGTGATATTCCTGAGTATGTTTTTTTCTAAACAGGAAAGGACAGTGCTGGGCCAAACTGTGACACTGGTTTTCTTGTCACATGCTCTACTTCCTTCTCCCTTATTCTCTCCAAGAAGATATTACCATATTAAAAGTTGCTGTCAGGAAAAGGACTTAACTGTTCTCAAACAGGACATTTTTTTTTTGTTTTATTAGGATATGGGGTCTCACTATGTTGACTAGGCTGGTCTCAAGTGATCCTCCTGCCCCAGTCTCCCAAGTAGCTGGTATGTGCCACCACATCAACCATAATTTATTGATCCTAGCAATATATTCCAAGTGTCTCCATGCCAGCCTGCTATTAGGGGATGGCTATGCATTGGTGATCCCTGGTCACTCCTCTTGAAATATCCATGGCCAATGAGAACTCATTCACATTCAGGTAGTCATCACCAAATAATGTTTAGCATAGTGGTGGTTCTTAAACAATGGGGTTCAAAATATGACTGTTGGAGATCAGAATAAATGAGCATAAGTACTATTTTGAGMTGGTTATTTTGGGAAACAATACAGGACAAGGGTTAAAATAGAAGTCACCCTTTTGTAAAATAACTTTTTATCTATAAAGGAAATCTTCAATTTTTTCTTCTTTTTTGCTTTCCACATTTTTTGTTGGTGCGTTATAGTTGTGCATTATGATGGGATTTGTTGTTATATATTCATACATGCACATAATAGAACAACAGAATTTCACCAATATCACTCCCCAGGAAATCTCCATTTTAAAGATGTTTGTTTTCTGCATCTGCATCTGCATTCAGATGACTGTTTTGGAAAAGGATGGTATTTAAGTTAGAAGTCTAAAAATAACTCTTTGAGATCTATTCTAGAGATTTACTCATTTCTCTTTTCTTTCTTTCTTTTAGTACTGGGGATTGAAATCAGGGGCACTTATCCACTAAGCCACAACCCTAGCCCTATTTTGTAATTTATTTAGAGACAGAATCTCTTTGAGTTGCTTAGGGCCTCATTGTTGCTTCAGCTGGCTTTGAACTTGCAATCCTCCTGTCTCAGCCTTACCAGCCACTGGGATTACAAGTGTGGGCCACCGTGCCCAGCAGATTTACTCATTTCTGTGGGTTATCTCTCACCTACACAGAGGTTTAGATGTTATTAAATTTGTGTTTGTTTTTCTCTTATTGGCCTGTTTTTTATTACAGAGAGTCCCAGCTAAGAACTTGGGAAGGGTGGGGAGGGAAAATCATTTTTCTTCCCTTACACAAGTTCAAGCATACAACAGCATCCCTGTAGGGATTGTTCTGATTCAGTGGTCTCAGGTGGGTCCCAGATGAGTGATGCTGGTTCTACTGGTTTGGAATTCACACTCTGAGAACCACTGATTTATTCCCAAGGATATTTTGCTTCATCAGGATTCAAGAGCATCCAGTTGGAGTAGAAACAGGTCATTTTTGGCCAAATCTTCCCCCGTCTTTGGTCCTTTTCTTCCTCTTTACTCTTCATCTCACTTCATGTACCGGATACCCTCCTTAACCCTTCTCTATCAGACATCATTCTCAGGAATTTGTTTTTTTCCTATTTTACCTGGCCAGGGATCCAGCCCAACGCCTTGAACATACTAGGCAAGCACTTTACCAGTGAGCTAACCCCCAGTCCCAGGAAAGAAATTTCTATTAAACATTTACATGATATTAAGACAATGTCTTTTTACATCTTACAGGGGAATTGACACTGTCTATGGAATGGAACACAATGTCCATGTTCACTTTTTAGGTCTGATTTGTGGAAATCTCCATCCTCTATACCAAGCAATGAAGGTGCACATGTATCAAAGGATCTCTGCCATCTGGTGTAGATACACACAAACACCAAACAAACAGACAAACAGCTGTCTGCATAATGACGGGATGATCATTAATGCAAGTTCTAGCCCTGGTGTTCTATGAGATTGGAACAAATCATTTAGGACTGGGTAAACCTTGCCAGAGTTACAAGAATTACCTTCTTGTAACAGTGGCTTCTCTATTGCAAGTTGTCACTTGCAAGGTTACATCCCTTCCTTTTGCCCAGCATTCTAAATTCTAAAGAGAAGCCACACTTAAATGATTATGCTGTTAATTGCTAAATATTTCTTCTTTAGATTTATAGAACCCAGAAAATCTGGAGACCTTTAGATTACATGAGAATATGCACCTCCTTATTCTTTAGTTCTGTGCATCAGCTAACACAAAGCATGTAAATGGCTCTGAAGTTTAACTTGCAAAGGAGTCTGTCTAAAGAACTATAGGAACTAACTCCAGGAGGTCAAGGTCCATTGTGATATTCTGGCCAGACTAAAAAATAAGAGGAGACACATACCCTGGATGATAAAGATCCCACCCAGCTTGTAGTCTTCCTGCTCACTGCCCCCTGTACCTCCCTATAAAAGCCTTTTGTGTACCCTCCTTCCTGAAGATAGAGCTTTGAGGACAATAGTCCCTCTCCATCTTCCAGGGTTCAGGCCTTTGAATAAAACTCATTTTCTTTTCATCAATTCTCATCTCCTAAGTATTTTCTGAGTATTTGAGTACTTGTGGTGTATAGCTGGACCTAATAGCACTTTCTTCTATTTAGGTGTTAATGACACCTAGAAGACCCCACTACCACATAACCACCACCATTTTCTTCATATGTATACCTGTCAGTTAACTAGAAAACAAAACAGGTGTTCATACTCCCACTTATTAGGATTATGAAGACTCTACATGGAAGTATGTGCAGAATGAAAAATTTTAAATCACACCTTTGACTTAAGAAATATTATTAAAGTTAACTCTCTAAGACTCAAAGTAATCACTAAGTATTAACAATACGAAGAAATACTTCCTTGTTATAATTCTAATGGCTTCTTTCTCTTCACTCTTGCTCCACAATTACTAGGATTAATCTTCAGTAAAAGGAGAGAACATATGATTACTTATTGTCTTAGACAGCTTTCTGTTGCTATGACTAAATACCAGAGAGAAACAGTTTAAAAAGAAGGAAAGTTTGTTTTGGCTCACAGTTTCAGAGGTTCCAGTCCATGGTCACTTAGCTCCACTCTTTCTGGGCCTATGGTGAGGTAGAACATCATGGCAGGGAGTGTGTGTAGAGCAAAGTTGCTCA